AAAGCTGAAAAACCGAAAAATTGAAGAAATGAAAAATTGAATAAAAAATCAAAAATTAGAAATTTGAAAAGTCGAAAAATACAAATCGAAACTAAAAACTGGAAGACCGAAACTTTAAAGAATTAAAAATGAAATTGTTCCTGTCGATATTTTATTATTCTCTCGATTTTAATTTCTGGATTCTGAGTTTTTTATTTTCCAAATTTTTCAACTTAAGTTCTTTGATTTTTAATTTCCCTTTTATCCAATTTTACGGTTTTGTAATTTTTCAAATTTTAATTTCCCAATTTTAAAAAACGGAAGCTAAAACGTCTAATGACCGAAAAAATGCGAAATAAAAATCGAAAAAAATTGAGAAATAGAAAAATGGAAAAACTGTGAAATTAAAAACTCGAAAAATTGCAAAATTGTAAAAATGAAGGAACGAAAGGTATAATATCGAAAAATTGGAAAATTTATTTAGAAAAAAAATTAAACTCGAAAGTCTAAAAACTGCGATAACAAAAACTCGATAAACTTGAAAAATCGAAAAATTAAAATATCAGGAATCTCAGAAACCGAAGTCTACAAAAACTGCAAACCTGGAAATTCAATAAACAAAAAACGGGAAATTGTAAATTTCAGAGCAGAAAATTTACAAAAATAAAAAACAGAAGACGGTAATGATGATATTCGGTTGCCTACTTAGTCCCCGAAAATATATTTTTTATTATACACCCATATTTTAGTATATTCCCTATTTTGGTGACTGGATTTTGAAGTGTTTCGTTTTTCAAATTTTGCAGCTTGAAATTTATCAAGATTGAAAAATCAGAAATTTCGAAGCTGAAATCTTCAAAATTTACGAATCGAAACATTAAAAATGTTCCTCGTATTTTTAAATTTGCAATCTTTTTTTTGCTTTTTGCTTTCAATTTTATATTTTCAATTTTTCGATTTAATTTCTCTCGTTTTCAATGTTACAATTTAGCAATTTTTTTATTTTTCAGCTTTACAATTTTGTCATTTTTCGATTTTAAGGTTTTTCAATTTTCCATTCTTTAATTTTTCGATTTTTCAAATTTGTGAATTTTCAGTTTCTCGATTTTCGGGTTTTGATTTTTGTTCCGTTTCTGGAATATGTGGATTTTTCTATTTTTGGATTTTCAATTTTTCGATTATTTGACTTTTGAATTTTTCAATTTTTCTAGTCGATATTTTATTTTCTCGATTTTAATTAATGGATGTTTACATTTATGGTTTTTTCAAAATGTCAACTTGGATTTTGTGATTTTTTAATTTTAAAAGTCGATAAAACTATTGAAGAAACCAAAAATCGAAAAAAGCATTGAAAATTCAAAATTTGAAAAATCTGAGCCATTGAAGTTGAAAATTAGAATAATTGGAAATCGAGCAGTTAAAGAAATCAGAATCGGAGAAATCGAAAAAATATAAATCTTAAAGTTGAAGTAACGAAAAAAAAATTAATAATCAAAAATTTGAAAATTTGAACTTGAAAAAATAAAGAAACAAAAGTTGATAAAGCAGAAACTTTGAGAAAGCAAATGGAAACAAAAAACTGAAAAATCAAAGTTGAAAAGTCAAAAAATTCTAAGCTGAAGTCTCAAAAACAATTTTTCAGTTTAATTTTTCTGCTCAATTTGACAATTTAGCAATTTTTTTATTTTTCAATTTTACAATTTTTTCAGTTACAGTCTCTCAGTTTTTGATGTTTTAATTTTTCGATTGTTCATTTATGGTTTTTAGCTTCTCGATTTATTATCAATTTTTCTATTTTCAAGTTCTGATTTTCCATGTTTCCGTTTCTTCAATTTTTATATTTTTCAATTTTTTCATTTTTAAATTTTCAATTTTTTCATTTTTGAATTTTTCGATTGTTCTTGGCTATATTTTAGTATATTCCCTATTTTGGTCACTGAATTTTGAAATTTTTCCTTTTTGAAATTTTGGAGCTTGAGTTTTATGAAAATTGGAAAATCAAAAATTTCTAAGCTGAAGTCTTCAAAATTTACGAATCGAAAAACTGAAAATGTTCCTCAAATTTGTAAATTTGCAAATCTTTTTTTTTTGCTTTTTGCTTTCAATTTTATATTTTGAATTTTTCGATTTAATTTCTCTTTTTTTCAATGGTACAATTTAGCAATTTTTTTTAACTCTACAATTTTGTCATTTTTCGATTTTAAGGTTTTTCGATTTTCGCTTCTTTAATTTTTCGATTTTTCTAATTTGTGAATTTTCAGTTTTTCGATTTTCGACTTTTGATATTTTCCGTTTCTTGAATATGTAGATATTTATAGTTTTGGATTTTCAATTTTTCGATTATTTGACTTTTGCATTTTTCAATTTTTCTAGTCGATATTTAATTTTCTCGGTTTTAATTAATGGATGTTTACATTTTTCGTTTTTTCAATTTGTCAACTTGGATTTTTTGATTTTTAAATTTTAAAAGTCGATAAAACTATCGAAGAAACGAAAAATTAAAAATCCAAAAACCCAAAATCGAAAAAAGCATTGAAAAATTCAAAATTTGAAAAATCTGAGCCATTGAAGTTGAAAATTAGAACAATTGGAAATCGAACAATTAAAGAAATCAGAATCTGAGAAATCGAAAAATTAATAATCTTAAAATTAAAGTAACGAAAAATTTGAAAATTTCAACTTCAAAACTCGAAAAATTGATGAAATAAAAGCTTGGAAGATTGAAAAATCTGAAAATTGAAGAAAGAAAAAATTCAAAAATAAAGAAACAAAAGTTGATAAAACAAAAACTTTGAGAATGCAAATTGAAACAAAAAACTGAAAAATCAAAGTTGAAAAGTCAAAAAGTTCTAAGCTGAAATTTCAAAAACAAAATTTCAGTTTAATTTTTCTGCTCAATTTGACAATTTAGCAATTTTTTATTTTTCGATTTTACAATTTTTTCAATTACAATTTCTCAGTTTTTGATATTTTAATTTTTCGATTGTTCAGTTATGGGTTTTAGCTTCTCGATTTATTATCAATTTTTCTATTTTTCAAGTTTTGAATTTCCAATTTTTCCGTTTCTTCAATATTTAGATTTTTCAATTTATTATGTTCTTGTCGATATTTTAGTATATTCCCTGTTTTGGTCACTGGATTTTGAAATTTTTCGTTTTTCCAATTTGGAACCAAGTTATTTGAATTTTTGATTTTCCTTTTATTCAATTTTACGATTTTTTAATTTTTTCATTTTTCAGTTTCTCAATTTTTAGAAACGAAAAACTAAAATGTCTAAAGATTAATAAGTCGAAAAGTTGGAAAAATCATTTCCAAAAAATTTAAAAGTAAAATCATTTTAAATTCACAAGTCGAAAAATTGGGATAAAAACACTGAAGAAACGTAAACTTGAAAAATCGAAAAATGAAAAAATCGAGAAACTCAAAAATCGGAAAACTGAAAAAGTGAAAAATTAAATAAAAAATCAAAAATTGCAAATTTGAAAAGCCGGTAAAAATTTGAAATTTAAAACTCGAAAAATACAAATCGAAACCAAAAACAATAAGACCGAAAATTTAACGAATTTATAAATAAGATTATTCCTGTCGATATTTTATTATTTTCTCGATTTTAATTACTGAATTCTGAGTTTTTTATTTTTCCAAATTTTTCAACATAAGTTCTTTGATTTTTAATTTCCCTTTTATTCAATTTTACGGTTTTGTAATTTTTCAAATTTTTAGTTTCCCGATTTTAGAAAAAGGAAAACTAAAACGTCTAAAAATTGTAAGTTGAACTGAGAAAATTGCAAATCAAAAAATCATTAGTTCGAAAAACTGTGAAATTAAAAAATCGAAAAATTGCAAAATTGTAAAAATGAAGAAGCGAAAAGTATAATATCGAAAAATTGGAAATTTTATTTAGAAAAAAAATTAAACTCGAAAGTCCAAAACCTGCGATAACAAAAACTCCATAAACTCGAAAAATCGAAAAATTAAAATATCATTAATCTCAAAAACCGAAATTTAAATAGCAATATACAAAAACTGCAAACCTGGAAATTAAAGAAACAAAGAACGGGAAATTGTAAATTTCAGAGTAGAAAATTTACAAAAATAAAAAACAGAAGACGGTAATGATGAAATTCGTTTGCCTACTTAGTCCCCGAAAATATATTTTTTATTGTACACCCGTCACTATTCTATTCCTGTCATACAAAGTCCGGATTAGACAATAAATTACGGGAAAGAAAGATGGATGGTATTATTATTGTTCACAGCTACGAGTACGTACATGTGCTGGATAATAAAGACTTATGCTTGAATCACTTGGATTTTTTGTCAGGAACGCCCTAAAAAAATTGTTTTAAAATTTTAAAAGCTTGCCTTGATACAAAGGAGTTCAATCGAGCATTTAATAAATAAATAATATCAGACGGTATAGAAAAAAGTCCCGACACACCAATTACATTTCGCATGTCTTCTCATTTAGATCCGATCGAATCGGCAGGAAATTTAACCCTTTAATATAATATTTTTATAATGGGATATTATTTAATCCCATGATTAAAGGGCGTGCCGATAAAGAACGAACGTTGCTCAATATAAAACGGAATCCCACATTTCATACACGAATGCCATGGCAAACATCACCACGGACAGTTTCAGTATAGTCATACTAGTATTAAAACGTGTTGGTCTATACTACGAAATAAATCAATCTAAATTGGTAAAAATCTGGAGTTTTCTTCTTTATTTTTCATCAGTGTCCGTTTCTGTACTCGTCGCCACCAACCTTTTCAACGACAAAAACATGGACACGATGCAGTTCAACCAAATGGTCCTATTTCTAGCAGGAAGCGTCCCTGGTGCCATTTTTTGTAAAACCGAAAAAAATGAAAGCATGCATCGAATTTTTCGACAACGAATTTTTCATCCCAAAGAATAAAGAAGAAAAGAGAATCACAAAAAAGTGCATCCGTGTCTGTCAAAGAAACGTCAAAATTTACGCTGTGGTGATAATATTTGCGGTCATTTGCTGGATGACGTTACCATTTTTTGAAATTGAGCACAGACTTCCGTTGAATGTCTGGCTGCCGTATGACGTCACATCAGGATCAGCTACTTTCTACGCGACGTATTTTTATCTAGTGGCAGGTTAGTGCAAGTTCAATTTTTGATCATTTTCCAGATTATCGTTACAGTGTGTTTTTATTTCGGGTTGGTTTGTGAGATGATGGAACCTTTGATCGGAGGTCTGGTCTATCAAGCCACGTCTCAGCTGAAAATTCTCAAATATAATCTACGACATCTGAGCGATCACTCAGTTGGTAGTTTTGAAAGTGTCTCCAAAACACTGATACGCTGCGTCGTGCATCATAACAAGATTTTGAAGTAAGTTGGTCAAGGTGTTAAAGTGATTTTAACGCACGATTTTAGTTTTCTTGTGGAGTATGAGGATTGTTTTTCTTGGTGTGTGTTTTGTCAGATTGCTGGAACCACGTTCGCGCTTTGTTTTTGTTGCGTTGGCGTTGGACTAAGTCTGGTTAGTGTGGATTTTTCCGTGTGTCTTATACCCTACTAGTGATAAATTTTAGGTGTCTTCTTTTAGTATGAACTTTGTTATGTACGTCATTTCTTACTGTGTTAATGCGTTCCAGTTGTTGTTTTATTGCCACTATGGAAGTCTGCTTTACGATGAGGTAGTTACAATTTTTTTAAAATGGTGATTTTTGTTTGTTCTACGTTGTAGAATAATGAATTGATGAGTGCCATCTACATGGGACCGTGGTACAATTATGACGTCAGAGTGAGAAAATTTTTGTTAATTATAATGGAGCGTTCTAAAATACCACTGGTTTTAACAGCAGGGAAAGTAATCAATCTAACTTATGCAACGTTTACCTCAGTAAGTTTTTTTTTGTAACTTCACAACGTTAGTTTATTTTTTATTTTAGGTGTTAAAAACGAGTTACTCTTTAATTGCTGTGCTAAACAGACACAACTAAGCAAAATTTGACTCATAAATTTATCCAAAAATATTTCGATTCAGAATTGGCTTGGAGTAGGTCGTTCATTTCTTATACGCTTAGGTCTTTAATTTTGTTATTGCTTTCAAAATATGCTTTGAGTTTTGTAGACAAAAATTGTTGACCCAATGTTTCTGCTTAGCTAAGAGCATCACAAAATAAACTATGAAAAAGTACAGTAAGAGTGTATATTAGGGTGATTCAAAAAAAAAAAAATAATTTTTTTTTTCGTGCAAAGAGGTTCAAAAGTTTCTTTTCAACGTAAAAAAATACCAGTTAAAATTTGAGCTCTTAATATTAATATTAAGACCGTCCGCATCGCGTTTTTCTATTTCCCATAAGAATAACATGGGAAAATTTTTGTTTGCACCTTCTGATTTTTATTGCTAGCCCGTCGTGTGTCGTGAAAAAAATTCAATCACATATTTTTATAGAGAATTGAACGCTCTACAAAAAGTGTCTCCTATGATTGTGCGAGAAACCTGATAGTTGAAGAGTTATTTTAGGCTAAAGTTAAATTTATCCAAATTTTGACGTTTTTGATGCATTACAATAAATTTGATGGTCTTATTGGAATAAATCACCACAAAAATTTATACACATTTTAAATTTAGTTTTTTAAACAGTAATTGTTTATAATTTTATGCTATAATAAGGCCAGTAAAACTCTTTCCGAACATTTTCAGCATCAGTGGGTTAAAAAATCATAGTCAGGTTTCTCGCAAAATCATAGGAGACACTTTTTGTAGAGCGTTCAATTCTCTATAAAAATATGTGATTGAATTTTTTTCACGACACACGACGGGCTAGCAATAAAAATCAGAAGGTGCAAACAAAAATTTTCCCATGTTATTCTTATGGGAAATAGAAAAACGCGATGCGGACGGTCTGAATATTAATATTAAGAGCTCAACTTTTAACTGGTATTTTTTTACGTTGAAAAGAAACTTTTGAACCTCTTTGACACGAAAAAAAAAAAATTTTTTTTTTTTGAATCACCCTAGTGTATATGTATTTCTATAAATAACTTGAGTTTTGAACCAGATTACGAGAAAGCACAAATTTAAACCAAAGTCAACAATTGTTTTCGGAGAACTTTGAGAAACGATGGTTAGTTTTGCATAAAGAGAACTTTTTCTTCTTTATGCTACGAGATATGACAAAAATAACTACGAATTCTTGATCCTGAGAAAATTTCAGTGAATAGTGACAAAAAATAAATTTTTAGGAGATATTTTTTTCACGATTTATTAAAAAATTTAAATAAGAGATTTTATATTACATAAAGAATCATGTGTTTGTTTAAATAACCTGAGTTCTGAACAAAAGAACGAAAGGAACACAAATTTGGACCATGGCAAAAAAAATTGTTTCACTAGAATTTTGAGACACAATGTTTTTTTTTCACAAAGATGTTTTTTTCTCTTTTATAGGACGAGATATGAAATAAATAATTACAAATTCGTGATTCTGGGAAAATTGCTGATAATAATAATATATTTGGAGCTATTCAGACAAACTTAAAATTTTTGCGTAAAATTGGTGGAGGCGCCGGGAAAATACAATTTTTAAAAACTATTTATTTCCCAATTTATAAAGAAATTTGTATGACGGATTTTATATGATAGAAAGCATCATGTGTTTCTTTAAATAACTTGACTTTTGAACAAACTAACAGAACAAAAACAAATTGTTTTCGGAGAATTTTGAGAACCAAAGTTTGTTTTTGCACAAAAATGCCTTTTTATTCTTTATATCACCAAATATTACAAAAAAATTGCAAATTCGTGATCCTGGGAAAACTTCTGGTAATAATGATATACTTTTGAACCATTTATACATATAAAATTTTTGCATGAAATTGATGGAAGCGCCTGGAAACTAAAATTTATAAAAATATTTATTTCACGATTTAATAAGAAATTTAGACGAGGGATTTTATATTAGAGAAAGAATAATGTCTGTCTTTGAATAATTTGAGTTTTGAACCAGATAACGAAAAAAACAGAAATTTAAACCAAGGTAAACAATTGTTTTCGGAGAACTTTGAGAAACTATTGTTGTTTTTGCACAAAAATGTCTCTGTCTCCTTTGTATAACAACAAATCTATTCTGGGGAAATTTTTGATGATAATGGAACATTTTTGAATCATTTAAACCAACTTGAAATTTTTGAATAAAATTGTTGGAGGCGCCGGGAAAATACCAATTTTAGAAGATATTTATTTTACGATTTATGAAAAAAATAAGCTGAGGGATTTTATATTGTAGAAAGAATCATGCATTTTTCTAAATAACTTGAGTTTAGGACAAAATAACAAATCAAACACAAATTTGAACTAAGGTGAACAATTATTTCCTGAGAATTTTGAGAAAAGATGGTTATTTCTGCATAAAGAGGATCTTTTCTTTTTTATGTGACGAGGTATGACACAAATTACTACTAATTCTTGATCCTGAGAAAATTTCAGATAATAGTAACAAAAAATAAATTTTTAGGAGATATTTTTTTCACGATTTATTAAAAAATTTAAATAAGAGATTTTATATTACATAAAGAATCATGTGTTTGTTTAAATAACCTGAGTTCTGAACAAAAGAACGAAAGGAACACAAATTTGGACCATGGCAAAAAAAATTGTTTCACGAGAATTTTGAGAAACGATGTTTTTTTTCACAAAGATGTCTTTTACTCTTTTCTAGGACGAGATATGAAAAAAATAATTACGAATTTGTGATTCTGGGAAAATTTCTGATAATAATGATATATTTGAAGCCATTCAGACAAACTTAAAATTTTTGCGTAAAATTGGTGGAGGCGCCGGGAAAATAAAATTTTTAAAAATTATTTATTTCAAAATTTATAAAGAAATTTGTATGACGGATTTTATATGATAGAAAGCATCATGTGTTTCTTTAAAAAACTTGACTTTTGAACAAAATAACACAACAAAAACAAATTGTTTTCGGAGAATTTTGAGAACCATAGCCATGTCCAGCGCTGAAAAGGCCCTAAGCCTCAGCAGCGCCCCACATACCATATCATGTAATACCTTAAGGAAAACTGTACCAACCAGCTTGAATAAATGTATTTTTGACTTGACTTTGAGAACCAAAGTTTGTTTTTACACAAAAATGCCTTTTTGTCCTTTAAATCACCAAATATTACAAAAAAGTTACAAATTCGTGATCCTGGGAAAACTTCTGATTATAATGATATACTTTTGAACCATTTATACAAATACAATTTTTGCATGGAATTGATGGAAGCGCCTGGAAATTAAAATTTGTAAAAATATTTCACGATTTATTAAGAAATTTAGACAAGGGATTTTATATTAGAAAAAGAATAATGTCAGTCTTTGAATAATTTGCGTTTTGAACCAGATAACGAAAAGAACAGAAATTTAAACCAAGGTAAACAATTGTTTTCGGAGAACTTTGAGAGACTATTGTTGTTTTTACACAAAAATGTCTTTGTCTCCTTTGTATAACAACAAATTTATTGTGGGGAAATTTCTGATGATCATGGAACATTTTTGAACCATTTAAACCAACTTGAAACTTTGCTTAAAATTGGTGGAGGCGCCGGGAAAATACCAATTTTGAAAGGTGTTTATTTCACAATTTATTAAGAAGCTAAGCTGAGGGAATTTATATTGTTGAAAGAATCCTGTATTTTTCTAAATAACTTGGGTTTAGAACAAAATAACAATTCAAACACAAATTTGAACCAAGCCAAACAATTATTTCCTGAGAATTTTGAGAAACGGTGGTTATTTTTGCATAAAGAGGCCTTTTTCGTCTTTATGCGACGAGGTATGACAAAAACAACTACGAATTCTTGACCCTGAGAAAATTTCAGACAATAGTGACAAAAAATAAATTTTTAGGAGATATTTTTTTCACGATTTATTAAAAAATTTAAATAAGAGATTTTATATTACATAAAGAATCATGTGTTTCTTTAAATAACCTGAGTTCTGAACAGAAGAACGAAAGAAACACAAATTTGGACCATGGCAAAAAAAATTGTTTCACGAGAATTTTGAGAAACAATGTTTTTTTTCACAAAGATGTCTTTTTCTCTTTTAAGGGACGATATATGAAAAAAATAATTAGAAATTCGTGATTCTGGGAACCTTTCTGATAAAAATGATATATTTGGAACCATTCAGACAAACTTAAATTTTTTGCGTAAAATTGGTGGAGGCGCCGGGAAAATAACATTTTTAAAAACTATTTATTTCCCAATTTATAAAGAAATTTGTATGACGGATTTTATATGAAAGAAAGCATCATGTGTTTCTTTAAATTGCTTGACTTTTGAACAAAATAACACAACAAAAACAAATTGTTTTCGGAGAATTTTGAGAAACTATTGTTGTTTTTGCACAAAAATGTCTGTCTCCTTTGTGTAACAACAAATTTATTCTGGGGAAATTTCTGATGATTATGGAACATTTTTGAACCATTTAAAACAACTTGAAATTTTTGTCTAAAATTGGTGGAGGCGCCGGGAAAACACCAATTTTAAAAGATATTTATTTCACGATTTATTAAGAAGATAAGCTGAGGGATTTTATTTTGTAGAAAGTATCATCCATTTTTCTAAATAACTCGAGTTTTGAAGAAAATAACAAATCAAACACAAATTTGAACCGAGATAAACCATTATTTCCTGAGAATTTTGAGAAACGATGTTTATTTTTTAATAAAGAGGTCTTTTTCTTCCTTAGGTGACGAGATATGACAAAAATAACTACAAATTCTTGATCCTGAGAAAATTTCAGACAATAGTAACAAAAAATAAATTTTTAGGAGATATTTTTTTCACGATTTATTGAAAAAATTAAATAAGAGATTTTATGTTACGTAAAGAATCATGTGTTTCTTTAAATAACCTGAGTTCTGAACTAAAGAACGAAAGAAACACAAATTTGGACCATGGCAAAAAAAATTGGTTCAGGAGAATTATG